CCTCTTCTGAGTGCAGGGCCTATGACCTTCTCAGGCGGTTGCTGGGCAGGCTGGACACCTATACCTATCAGTGCTCCAGAAGATTCTCCGCCAGCCAGTGAACCCGGCTCCTAGTGCTTTCACCCCTTGTCTTCCGCAAGTTTCCCAGCACCCGGAGGGAGGGTGGTAGTGTCCTCTTTCTTACCCAGATGAGGACATAGGTTGGGAGAAATTCGTTCTATTACCCAATGTCATAGAACTGGTAGTAGCAGGACAGGGACTCAGTCCAGGGAGGGTTGGGGTCATTTCAGATGAGAGCCACAAAGGGGCCACCACATCCTCCTTTGGATTCTGAAAGTCCCAGCCCAGAGCCAGCCCCTCAAAAGCTGATGTTGAGTCCACCCTGGGGGAAGTCCCCGTGGCTATCAGAGCCTGCAGGAGGCAGCTAGTCCACGAGGGCCTGGTCTGGAAGTGACCAAAGTGACCACTTATTTACAGTATGCTCCGGAGGACCTGCGCCTTTGGGAGCCACTCGGGAAGAAAGCCCTGAAGTGACCTGGCAAGACCAGCCTTGCACTCGCTGCAGATTATTTACTGACATTGCAGTCATTTATAACTAAAGGCAGTGTCTCTGGTTTAGAAAAGAACACAATCTTAACTTGGGTCTGCAGGCTGAGATGCTAACGAACTCCTTGCAAAAGTAAATATTGAATAGTTTTACTATTCAGCTTCCAATGAGACAGATTTTTAGCCGAGAATGAGGCTGCTGCCTTTAGCTCTTCCAAATAGCCGCTTGATTTTATAAGGATCACATGTCATGTTTGGTGGGGACAAATAATTTTAAGCTGGCATTGGCTGACCTGGCCTTAGTCTTCCTGGAGTTCCTAGAAAAGAAGGAGAAAAGGACTCTGGGTCTTGGGGACCTGGTGGGCACAGGCCCTGGACCAGGCAGCAGCAGGCTGCTCAGGGTTGGCTCTCCCAGGGATACCCAGGGAGCTAAGGGTGTGTGTGTGTGTGTGTGTGTGTGTGTGTGTGTGTGTGTGTTGTGATCAAGGACTTGGCTAAGCCTCTGGTCTCGGGATCAGGGGTCTGAGAAACCCTAGCTCCTGCCTCGTGCATGCAGGATGGGAACTGAGTGTGGCTGCTTTATGCCTCTTGACCTTGGCTCCTTCCTTCTCTTGGTGCTGAGATTTCTGGCTCATGAAGCATTTCCACATCCTCGTGTCATTTCACAGCCATATTAGATAGGAGAGGGGCACTAGTGTCCTTTCACAAAGGTGAAAGATGAGACTCAGAGGTGGAACTGGCTTTCCTGAGGTCACAGGGCTGGCAAGATGGTGGATGGCATTAAAATTGTTAGTTCTGGTAGAAAACTTTTTGGCTCACAAGGCATTTTTCACATCGTCATCACATTTCACACTGTCTTCAGTGGGGGTGTGAGGGGGCGGCTGCTAATAGCCTCATTTTCCAAAGAGGGAAGTTGATGCTCAGAACTGGCTTCCCCAAGGTTCCAGGTTGGTAAAATGGTTATGGGATGGCAAGGGTGGGTGAAGGGATCTAGCAGGGGAGGGAGAGGGCCATCCTTGATAGAAACCAGCATGTATGGTCCAATTCTACTGGCATAAAATTATGCAGTGTATATTGGGAGAAAGGAAAAGGGGGGAAAAATTGCCAACTCTGCCTTTCCTGTCCCCAAAACAAAGGTGATGTGTGGCAGACACATTATAAAGTGTCACCGTAAAAGTTTATCTAAGTGGTTGGGAGAAGGCCAGGCTAAGGAGAGCTAGAGTGGGTCCAGAAGAAGGGCCTCCACTGTGCTGGTGCTTTTCCTGCCCCCACTGGGACCCAGCCAGTGTCTTCTGGTGCAAATCAAGCGTCAATGACTCTATCCCGCTCCACTCATGGCTCCCCCTGGACACCCCTCTTACTCCTCCTGCACATCTGGGCCCCCAGTCCCACCTGAGTTCCCTGCAGATCACCCCTGTCCTGGGTCTGCCCCTTTGCTGGTACCCGTTCTCTCCCCTCATCACCCCCCCCCCAGTCCTCCTGCCCCTCCCCAGCTTCTCATGTGCTTGGCTGAGCTAGGCAGGGTTAGACAGCTTTCTTTTGGGCCACAGGTGGAAAGCCTGCCTTCTCCCTTCCCCCACGCATTCCTAAGTTCCAGTTGACTGTGTCCCAGAACAAAGACAGGAAATTGGCAGGGGAATGTGTGTGTATTGTGGGGGGGGGGGGGGGTCTGGCCATCTGGTCAACTCTCTTCTGTTCTCAGAAATCTTGAAGAAGGGCAGGGACAATGGGTAAGGGGCACCTGGCTAAGGAGGCTCTGATGATGGAGTGTGCACCCCATCTGGGCAAGCCCCTGACCCCCTCTGTGCCTCAGTTTACTCATTTGTGCAAAGGCAGTAAGAGTCAGTGGCCTGCCTACTGGCAGGGAGGCAGGGATGAGGTCATGGCTGGAAAGCTCTTATTGTCAATCTCGGGTAGTTATCTCTGTTGCTCAGCCCACGGGCCTGGGTGCTGATCCTCAGAGCCTTGTAAGGAATATCCCAGGGGGTGTGGTCCGGGCAGAAACCATCTCTGTTTGTTTTGGTGTGTGTGTGCCCATGGGGGGGAAGGTGTGGGGAAGAGCTGCAGAGGGCAGCTGGGAACTGGGAGAGAAAGCTTCCTTCCTTGCTGAGTACCTACTCTGTGTCCACCCCGTGCTAGGCACTGAGGTTGACTCAGGCATTGCTTCTGGCCTCCGGGAGCCCCTAGCCTAGTGGGGGGGTTTGGGGGTGGTGGGGGGTGGAGAGCCAGGACAGATGCATTTACAGTCAACCATATCCAACTTCCCCATCATGCTAGGTAGTCTGAACCAGCCTTGAGGTTTATCAGTCCTGTCTCAAAGGCCTCCCGTGACAGAGGCTCACCAATGGCTTCACCCTCAACCATGCACATGTGATGGTTTTCCCACAGGAAGCTCAGGGAGCACAGGGCTGGGTCATCCCAGGTGGCTGGACAAGGCTGGGGTTCAGGGATGTCTTGGAGCCCTGGCCCTCAGCATGATCATCATATAAAATTGTTATAGAGCAACCCCGATATTAAACGGGTTCCTGGCTGTGGGTCCTCACCCGCGCGCTTTAAAGGGACTTATGAATACTCTACTACAGACACACGCAAAAGGGTTAATAAAAGGTTTATTTACAAGAGAAAAAGAAATAAGGAAAATGTACAACTCAGGGAGAAAATAGGGAAATAAAGTCTTTAATGCATCCTACCCGATCCGACGACCTGGAAACCCAAAGTCACTCTCAGAGCTAGACGGACGCCGCGAGCTGGCCGAGGGCCCCAAAATGGAGAGCGCCCCAAAGCCCACATGTCTGCCTTTTGTATCCACCTGGCTGCTTAACCCCACCCTCAGGTCCCAGCCACCTTCCCTTTGGTGGTGATGGGATTTGGAGTTCCCAGTGTCTTTGGCTTTGACCTGGGGTGGGGGTGGAGTCCACAAAGCCTGTATGGAATTTGCTTTGGGGCAGCCTTTTCCCCCTAACACTGGGGTGGGGGTGGAGTCCACAAAGCCTGTATGGAATTAGCTTTGGGATAGCCTTTTTCCCCTAACAAAATGAGGGGTACCCTTGGTTCAGCTATAATGAGCCTCAATTACTCTCACCCCCATAATGACCCCTTTCTACAGGTCCTCACCTCCCTACCCTGAAACAGGTCCTGGTTAATCCTGGACCCCTGCCCTATAGTCACTTCCATCCTGTTTCCAACGTCCTAAGGTGTGGGCATCGCTTAGACTGGCATCCAATGACCTGGCTAAACCCTGTGCCTCTGTGCACGGGGCTGGGTGATGTTTGAGGCCGGATATCTTTCTGGTCTATTCACTTGGGCTCCTCCCCACTCCCTCAAACTCAGGGTCAGACTAGATTCCTCTCCATCCATGCAGAACTATCTGCCTATCCCCACCTGAGTACCTTTGTCGCCTCTGACCTTCCTGAATGTTCTCCATCCACTCCTGCAGCCTCACACCACTCCAGGGGAATCCATTCATGGTGACTTGTCATCAGTGTCCACTGCAGCATAACCCCAGGCTACAATGTGCCCTCGGGCCCAAGAGCACCCCTTCAAGCCCCCTCCCAAGGGCCCTACCTCCACCCTAGTCCAAATTCTTCCTCCCTTTTAAAGTCTTCTGGGACTTTGCACCCTCCCTGGCCTCATCAGATAACTGCTCTGTGTGTCTGCAGAGTAAACACTCATTTGTTGGCTGATTTCCGTAAGGGTGGCCCACAGCTTGCTGTTGCTGGCCTCCCTCACCCAGTTCCAGTCAAGCAAGACCCAGCAGGAATGAAGCCCACGGGCTGAAACTTCCATAGAAGGGGGCAGGTTCCCTCTTCTCTGGCTGAAAGGGCATCGAAGGGGTGCCCCTCCTCTGGCAGGGATGGGAAGTCAGGGGTGAGTGTGGTAGTCAGAGATGGGGAGAGCAGGCACCAGCATTTCATTCCCCCAAACTGGACCTCACCAGGCCAATGCCAAGACTGCTGGGGAGGCAAATACATGGAAGATGAGAATCATAAAAGTAAATCGGACCAGTGATGAAGGCGATAAGGCCACAACCACAGTAACCCAGGTGTGGCGGCTCTTTGAAATTCATCCTGGAAAGGGGTCCCTACCCCTCTCAGTCCACCCACGCCTGCAATGGAGGAGCCCTGGGGTGTAAGAACCTTGGTCTTCAGGGCCTGAACCTGATTATGTCTGGCTGCCCCCTGCTCTGGAAACATCCAGGTGCCTACAGGCTATTACTCAGTCTCCTCTCCCAGCTGACCTCAGCAGGGACCCGGGGGCAGGGGAGAGGGCAGTTTCCTCTGAGACTGACTCTCCTCCAGCAGAGTGACTCAGGGACCCAGGGCTGGGGCCTTAAAGTGCCTTTGTGGCCAGGCTCTGGAATCCAGAGGAACTGGTCAGGGGGAGGCTCCAGGGACCGAAACCCCTCCCTCTGCTCCCGCCTACCTACTGAGCCTTATAACCCTTCCAGCCTTTAGCTGAGAGTGCGCGCGGCAGCTGTTTGCAGGGAAGAACTGGTCTGGCTTGCTGCTTCTCGCTGCTTCTGCTTCTCCAGAGGGAGAGACACCGGTGGCTTCTGACTGGGTGAGGACACTTGGTGGCTGTTCGTGGCTGCTCTGACTGACTTTGCCTCTGAACCTGTGGCAAGAGGCCTGCCTGTGGACGCTGAGTGTCCATCCTCAGTGCTTGAAAGCCTACAGCCCACAGGGTCAGATCCCCACAGGCGTTCAGTTTCTAGATCCCCGCAGACACTGAGTGATGGCCTCCATGGGGCTGCAAGTGATGGGCATTGCCCTGGCGGTGCTGGGCTGGTTGGGTGCCATCCTCAGCTGTGCGCTGCCCATGTGGCGCGTGACGGCCTTCATCGGCAGCAACATTGTCACATCGCAGACCATCTGGGAGGGCCTGTGGATGAACTGTGTGGTGCAGAGCACCGGCCAGATGCAGTGCAAGGTGTACGACTCGCTGCTGGCGCTGCCGCAGGACCTGCAGGCGGCCCGCGCGCTCATCGTGATCTGCATCATCGTGGCCGTGCTGGGCGTGCTGCTGTCCGTGGTGGGTGGCAAGTGCACCAACTGCGTGGAGGATGAGAGCGCCAAGGCCAAGATCATGATTGTGGCGGGTGTGGTGTTCCTGCTGGCCGGCCTGCTGGTCATGGTGCCCGTGTCCTGGACGGCCCACAACATCATCCAAGATTTCTACAACCCGCTGGTGGCCTCTGGCCAGAAGAGGGAGATGGGCGCCGCGCTCTACATTGGCTGGGCGGCCTCCGGCCTGCTGCTGCTTGGTGGAGCCCTTCTCTGCTGCAACTGCCCACCCCGCACCGACAAGCCCTACTCTGCCAAGTACGTCCCCGCCCGCTCCGCCCAGGGCAGCAACTACGTGTAAGGTGGCACCGCTCCACTCTGATGCTTTGGCTTTGTTTCTCCATGGACTGAGCTCAGTGCCGCCTATGACCCCGGGATGGCCCAACCACGGGCTGCGGGCTGAAGGCACTGGGCAGGCAGGACTGAACCAGGCCAGCAGCCCTCAGCCCCTCTGGCCCTCTTGGCCCACCTCTACAAGGATGGACAGAAAGACTCCTGGGCTACTCTCCTGAGTGGCCACTGATGGGGGGAGGGGGCTGGCGTGACAGGGTATGTCGGTAGAGCTGGTAGAGCTGGGAGCTGGCGCCTGCTGGCCAGGACAGCTCAGCCTCGATTTTGTTTGGGCTCTGAGTAGGTGCCCTGCCCATGCCTCTGTTGACCATTGTCTCCTTCTTTGATCTTCTCCACTCCCTCTGCCCACATCTTTGGGTGGGTCAGCGAGCACTGGGCTGTCCCTTGCCCACGGAAACCTGTGGTCATGAGACTGGCTGGGGCCTTGCTCATCCATCTGCCCGGTGGTGCAGCACAAAGTGGACAGACAGGTTTAGAGGGGAGGGGTGAAGGTGCTACAAACTGGTTTGGGTAGTGGTGGGGGAGGGGGCTACTGAGGCAGCCCACTTGGCCTCCACCCCTTCCTACCTTCCTGTCCCGCCACAGCCAGGCAGCCCCCTGGCTCCACCTCAGCAAAAGGACCCTGCCCCCCCGAGACTGGCTACCTCTGGATCGATGCCCCTGTCAAGGTCATTGGCCAGCCTGGGGAGGGCAGGGGGAGTGGTCTTTTGCTGGCCCTCATCCCAGGACATCCTGGGGCTGTTATGTTTTGTAATTTAAGATCTATTTGTCACTGTAGCTACTGTTATTTTCTATAATAAATGAGACGTGTGCACAGGAAGGCTCTGATTGTTTCTGATTCCAACTATGGGGGTGGGCAGGGAAGGCTTGTGGGCCTGGACGGTCTGTGAGGGGCAGGGAACACTTGAAAATCTGGTTTCGGGGGATTGTGAAGAATTGGAACTGGCCTCACCTTGGGAATCACCTTGTTCAAGTCCTCATGTGCTAGAGGGAAGACCTGTTCCCAGGAAATGTGCTGTGTGCCCAGGACCCTGGTGAGCTGCTGGGGACCCCAAGAAGGAAGACAGACGAGGACACCCAGCCCCGGGCATTGGGCCACTGTCCTGTCCCTCTGTCCCAGTTTGTCTGGCAGCCAGGCTGGTCTGGTCACCGTCAAATCCTACCTCCTAGCTTTTGCTCAGACTGTCCCTGCCCTCTCCTGACTTTCTCCACCCCTTGGAATCCTGCTTGTCCTGAAGGTCCAGCTCTGGGCCTCCTCCTCCAGGAAGCCTTCCCACAGGAGGCTTCAGCAGCCCTGTTCATATCCAATCCCCACAGTGCTGTCAGTCATCCGAGCCCTTCCACCTGCCGAGGTGAGGGCCGCCTCCAAGCCCTTTATAGATGAGGAAATGGAATCCTAGATGTGTGAAAGTGACCAGGGCCCAACCAGGAGCCCTTGAGCTAAAGAGGGCCCATCACCTCCCCAGTGGCGCAGTGGTTGAGCGCTGGGTTGTGAAGCTGCCCGCAGCCTCTGCAGCGCCGGTTCGATCCCCGGCTGCTCCCCGGCCACCGCAGGAGGGTCCCACATGGTGCGCAGACCTCTCCTGCCACCCGTTGCTCCCCTCAGCAGTGTACTTTGTCAGTCTGCCTGCTCTGCTCTCCCCTCTGGCTCTGGTGAATTCTCTCACCCTCCCGCGCTTCTGACTGTACCCAGTGCATGTATAAAAACAAAAACAAACAAAACAAAACAAATAAATAAATGAATAAAATACGTGCCTCTTTAAAAAAAAAAAAAAGAAAGAAAAGAGGGCCCATCAGCTGGGAAGAGCCATACAGTCACATCTGTGGCTGACTGCCGTGCCTGGTTCAGGGATGATCAGAGCTGGGGACCCTCTCTGTCCTGTCACTTCTGACTTCTGTCCTCAGCGACAGCTGGGGCAAAAGAATCACAGAACCACGGTCCTGCTGTTCCTCTGGGCCATCTTTAATGGGCACATTCTCCTGAAAGGTAGGTTGGCATGGTGACCCATTTTAGAGATGAAGTGGAGGAGCTCCAAGGATGGGCCTGGCCAATGCCAGGTGGAGGGTCAGTGACCTGCCAGGGCCTGGGGAGCAGGCTTTGCTCCCTCAACCCTGACTCCCGCTTGCTGCTTTCGGTACAGGTAGACAACGCCAGAGATGAAGCCCTCGCTGTCAGAAGAGCCAGGCACCACCTCGAGCTCAGAGGTGGCCAGCTCCCACCTGTCCACAGGCCAGGTCACCAGGCGTTCCCAAGCCCTGGCCTGCTCCAGCTCATCCAGGGTGGTCTCCAGCACCTCCTTGTAGCGAAGGTTGGATGGGTTGGTCCTGGTGGTCAGACACACCAGCCCTCCTGGGGAGAGGGAGGGGAAGTAAGTGAGGGAGGGGCAAGGTTCCAGGCCTGCCCTGGGAATGGGGAAGGAGCTCAAGGGCCCATGTTTTCCCAGCTTTGTCTCCAGGCCAGTCTTGCCCATCTCTAGCCTTTGGTGCTCACTTTTCTCCCCATGCCCCGGAATTCCCTTTTACTTCTTCAGCCTGACTGATGCCTTCTCCACCCTTCAAGGCCCAAGTCACCTTAACGCTGGGAATTCTTGGCTAATCCCCTGAACAGAGGGGTCTTGCTTCTCACTGCTCACCCAGCCCCTCTCCTGGAAGGTAAGGCTGTGTCTAGAGGCACAGGAAGTTCATAGGCTTTGAATCCTGGGCAAGTCTCTTCACCTCTCTGGGCCTCAGTTTCCCAGCTTGCACAAAGGGGATGGTTACCCTGTCTCACAGGAACACCAGCACAGCCAGCAAACACTGGCTGAATGAACAAGTAAGCATGTCCCTTTAGGTCTTCTTGGGACACCTACAACATGCCCAGTGTGGGCTCACAAACATTTAGATCAGTGTCTGGAAGGCTTCCTGGAGGAAGGGGTAAGGAGAAGCAGGGCTGGAGGAGGGGCTCCATGAAAGGAAGGACTCATTGCAGGAAGGGCTCCAAAGCCAGGCACCTGTGGCACGCAGGCAGCAGATAGGGCTCTGGCCAGCAGAGGGTGGGCTAGGAGTCCTAGTCCGCACCGGTTTAGGCTATGGGAGTTTCCTGTCCCTAGGTCAACCTTTACCTCTCCTGTCCCCACCAATCTTCCTGCATCTGTCAGCTGCCATAGTTCCCTGAGGCCAAAGCCTGCCCAGACCTGCCCAGGCTTAGCCACAGCCCTTGAGGGCTGACTGGGGGAATGAGTGGGGCAGGAAGAAGCTGTAATCTTGCCGCGGCAGAGTGCCTCTGTGGCACCTGATCCCTCCTACAGCCAGACCTTGCCTCCTGACCTTCCGCTCTGCTATTCTTCCTACCTCTGACTTTGCTTGAGTTGCTTCCCATTGTGGCCCTCACGCCCCATACCGGGCCTCAGAAATGTCTGAATTATTGGAGCACTGAGCACTCACAGCTCTTGTGGGTCTACCTCTGGCCTAACCATTTCCCCAGAGTTTGATGATAGAGGCTCAAAGGGTAAGTCTGCCTCTTCTCCCCAGCAGCAGAGCAAGGCACAGAATAGGGCACAGCAACAGAATCCTCACCGGCACATCAACCTCACATGTGGTGTTTATAAAAAGTGCTCACGTTGGGCCTCCCCAGTGGCGCAGTGGGTTGAGCGCTGCGCTATGAAGCTGTCCGCAGCCTCTGCAGTGTGGGTTTGATTCCCAGCCGGCCAGGGAGATACCCACATGGCGTGGCAGACCTCTCCTGCCTTGCCTGCTGCTCCCCTCAGCAGTGTCTTCGGTCCGTCTGCCTGTTCTGCTCCCTGCTCTCTCTGGTGAATTCTCTCACCCTCCCGTGCCTCTGACCTATACCCCCGTTCTTGTATAAATAAATAAAACTTTAAGAAAAGAAGTGCTCACATCTATCATCTCACCTGAGCAGTCCCATTTCACAAATAAGGAAACAGAGACCAGGATGGAGAGACTCACCTAACGGCTGCCCATGAGTTAGTGAGGAAGCTGGACGATGAGGGAATTGAGCTGAATTTCTTCTATGCAAAGGCCATAGAGATATTATTTCACCCAATTCTTACCCTGATCCTAGAGGGGAGGGACTGTGTTGCTCTGCTGATAGGTAAGGATGCAGGGGCTGGAGAGGAGGGTGTAACTTAAATGCTCCTGGCTGCCCGTGGACAAGAGGAAAGCCGGCCACAGGCTGCTCTGCCTGTTGGCCTGGTTTGTTGATGGTGGCAGCTGAGGCCCAGCCCTGGGCTAACAGCTGGTGGCTCAATGCCAGGGGAGGCTGTATGGCCCTGGGCAGGACCCTGTCCATTGCCTGGCCTGGGGGGTTCTGAGGCTGGTGTCTTTGGGTATGGAGAGGGAAGGTGTATATGCGGTTGGACAGCTGCTTCTCACCTGGCTTGGTAACTCTCAGGAGCTCAGGTATGGCACTGCAGGGCACCTGGCCATCGCTGAGGGCACCCACCATCAGCACTGCGTCAAAGGTCCCTGTGTGAGGCATGGGCATGTGGGTAGTGGTTTGTCTTTGGTGTGGCCTCAGACCACCCTGGAGGATAGTGCCCAGGATGGGGAGGGCCAGGCCTGTCACTAGTGTCTGCAGGCTCCAGATCCTGTGGGTGGCCCAGTCCCGGGCTGAGGTCAGATCATGGAGTGGAGGGATCAGTGAGAGGAGCTCACAGAGGGTCAGAGAGGTTCTCAGTGAGGCATTAGAGGACTCAGAAGGGGAATGGGGGCTTGAGGAGGGTTCAGCAGGGAGATCTGTGAAGGTAGGCTTGGACAGGGGGTGCAGTGGAGTGTCAGGTGAGAGGGGAAGTACCTTCAGGGCTGGGCAGAGGCTCCTGGCCCAGGGTGCAGAGGCTGAGGCACTGGTAGAGGCCGCGGGCCCGGGCCTGTTCCAGCATCCCTGGGCTCCCATCCACCCCATGCAGCTGGAGGAAGCCTCGAGCCTGCAGCTGAGGTGGGGGGGGAGGGAGGTGCTCAGTCACAGTTCAAACTTGCCACTTTCCAGCTGGATATCTGAACCGGGGAAGGGCAGCGTGCCCTGCATTGGATGTGGCTCAAGTATTTGGGACCAGTGAGTCTGAGGTGTGGGTCAAAAGAGAGGACTGGAGATCTGGGGAGACCTCACCTCGGCAGCCACCAGGCCAGTGCCACAGGCCACGTCCAGGATCAGGGCGGTGTGGGGAAGGCCTGGAAGGGCTTGGGTGAGGCAGTCCACTGCTAGGCGGGGGGCACGGTACTGCAGGGTCGCCACATCCTGGGGACAGAGGGCTGAGCCAACCACCACTCCATGCTCTAGTGTTTCTGGGATATTCTCTATGGGGTGATTTAGGAGTCAGCCAGGCCAAGCTGTGTGTGTGTGTCTGGGCTAGGGCCTGGGTGGAATTACAGTGAGAGGAGATGCTGGCATGAGACGCTTTCCTCTGCTAAGGGGCCAAGGCTAGAGAATTAGCCCCCAGCCCTCTGCCTGAGGCTTCTCTGTTTATCCCACAGTGACCCATCAATGGTATTCCCCTATGCAGCCCTGCTGCCTGGCCTGCAACCCTAGAGTGGGAGGTCTCGACCCCTGACCTTGAGGGCCTGCCAATCTGGAGCAATGGGGCTGGTGAGAGGGCAGGGCTGCTGAGGGTGGGCAGGTGAGGGCCCAGTCCTGAGGGGGCAGAACTTGATCAGGTTGCACCCACTGCAGGGGGCAGAACTTCTGGGATGACACAAGGTTAGCTATCCTCACTTCACAGGTAGGAAAATTGAGTCTATGCAAGTGGAGGGAGGCTGAGGTGATTAACTGGACAAGTTTACCTGGTCATAGTCCAGAGCCCAGCGGTCGTAGAAGCGGAGCTTTTGGGCCAGGTCGGTGATGCCATGGGAGGCCCCAACCCGGGCCCGCACTTTGGGCAGGCTCCAGCCGTCTTCCTGAGCCATCCTCCTGTGAGGACACAGCCTTCGGTCCTCAGTCCAGCCCAGCCCCTGTCCCCCAGCGCCCTCCCTCTGCACCCCTGCCTTCCGTGCCCGCAGAGGCCGTCTGGAGGAGGCCTGCCAGGTCCCCCCACAATCCCATTTCATATTCCAGGGCACTGAACACAGAGAGGACGAGACTGACATTTGGGGTTCAGGGCTGGGGGAGGGGTATTCCCCCTGGCGGGAGGGGCCGACCTCCCCACCCCGGGCCGTGGGGAGCCGCCAGCGGGGCAGAAGGCTGGAGGGTCAGAACTCACCGCCAGCCTGACAGCGCGAGCAGAGGGGCGCCGGGAGCCTGGCCCCGCCCACCCCTCGCTGACTGGCTGTCCTCTAGGACAAACTACCCAATCAGACGAAAGCAATGACAGCCCGCCCTTCTGCCAGCCAATGAACACCATTTTTTGACCCTTCAAACCCCGGGAGACCCCACACCCTGAGACATTTCCACGCTGTGCGGTTTTAGGGTTGTCTCGGTGCCCTCCTGGCGCTCGTTGTTCTTTATGGTTCCTACAAGTCCAGCATTTAGACTGTGGGAGCCTCAGAATTCTTAAGGCTAGAGAGGGACCTAGGATCAGTCTTAGTGTTTAAAATGCTCACCAAGGTCTGGGCAGTGCTGTCCATAAGAAAACTTGGCAGTGGGCCTCCGTGGTGGAGGAAGGGGTTAAGTCTCAGCACTATGAAGCCATCGGCAGCCACTGCAGCACGAGTTTGATCACAGGCCAGGGAGCTGACCCACAGGGCTCAGCAGACCTCTCCTGTCTCGCCTGCTGCTCCACTCAGCAGTGTATTTCAGTCCGTCTGCCTGTTCTGCTCCCCACTCTGTCTCTGGTGAATCCTCTCACCCCCCTCCCTGCACCTCTGGCCTATCCCCCAGTTCGTGTATGCATAAATAAATAAATCTTTAACAAGAAAAAAAAAGAAGACTTGGCAGAGAAGGAAATGTTCAATATGGTAGTCACTTGTCACCTGTAGCCGTTGAGCAATTGAAATGTGGCTAGTGCTACCGAGGAGTCGAATGTTAAATTTTATTTTATTTTTATAACTTCATACACAGCTAGCATCCTCACTATTGGAGAATGCCAGGTTGGCTTGCTCCCCTTAGGGAAGCTATCTGACTTGCAAAATCTTTTTTGTTAAATTTATTTATTTATGCATACAAGAACGGGGTAAAGGCCAGAGGGGTGGGGGGAGAGGATTCACCAGAGACAGTGTGGGGGGCAGAACAGGCAGATCTATTGAAATACATGGCTGAGGGGAGCAGCGGGCGAGACAGGAGAGGACTGCTGTGCCATGTGTGTCACCTCCCTGGCTGGGGAGGAGATCTACAGAATCAGAATCAGATTGCTAGGGGTGGGGAGGTGGGGGGATGGGAAGTGTGAGGGGGTGGTGGAGTGAGGGTGGAGCCCAGAAATCTGCATTTTAACAAACTCTAGGCGATTTCTATGCAGTTTAAGTTTCCAAAGTACTTCGAGAGCCCATTAGGCAGTGTTTGGGAGGTTGGGTGTGGGAGTTGTCCCTGCATGAGGTGATAGCAGCATGAGATTGTGTAGAGGTGATGGTTGTGGAAAGTAGTGGATGAATTTCAGAAAGGTGCCCAAAAAACCCTGTGTCATTTAAATAGTTAATTGGCTTTATTAATTGATTTGTGAATCAGGAAGCATTCCATTCCAAGTAGAAAGGGGCTCTGAAGAGCTGTACAAAAATGGAAAGCTTTTGTAAATGGAAGAGGGTGAGCTAAGGAAGAGAGTGGGTTGTTGAAGGGATTCCATTGTTTTAGGCAAGGTCATCTTTCTTTGGGGGACAAAAGGGTTTATCAGGCACGTCATATCTCTAGTGTTGAGCAAGTAATTCCAGAACTGGTTAAGATTATATTCCCAGGAGGGGTTGAAACTGCAATTAAGTTAGGTATGAACTCTCAACTTGGTGATGTGGGCTCACTACAAGTGACTCCATTGTGGGCCTTGTCTCGTTTAAGCAGCTGTTTAGGAACTCGAAGACGCAGGGCTTGAATAATTGAGAGTCCATGGCATGGAGTGGCACCCGGGCTTCTGCCTGAGCTGTTGGCTTCATGGTGGCATCATTCACAGCAGGGTAAGCCCAGAAGGAGAGAAGTAGGTTTGGGATGAAGAGGAATACTAGCAGCTGGGGATGTTGAGTTTGCAGTGTCTATGTGAAGATGTCAAGGATCTGTTTGAGGGCCTCCCCTGGTGGCAAAGCAGTTGAGCGCTGGGCTGCGAAGCTGCCCGCAGCCTCTGCAGCGCCGGTTCAATCCCCGGCCACCGGCGAGGGTCCCACATGGCGCGCAGACCTCTCCTGCCGCCCGCTGCTCCCCTCAGCAGTGTGCTTCGGTCCTTCTGCCTGCTCTGCTCCCCACTCTGGCTCTGGTGAATTCTCTCACCCTCCCGCGCTTCTGACTGTACCCAGTGCTTCTATAAATAAATAAATAAATCTTTAAAAAAAAAAAAAAAAAAAGAATCTGTTTGATACCAAAATCTTGAGCCCAGGAGAGGTCAGGCTGGAGATGGACTCAGGGTCATGGGTAAGACTAGTGGCGACTGGGGCAACTGGTGCTCGTAAGAATTGCATAGAGTGGGAATGTTACAGGGCAGGGAGAGGGGTACCTTAGAACCCCCAAACCTGCCTGTTCTAAATAGGTTCTGCCACCTACCACATCAACACAAAACATATAAGACTTTAATGGAAAGGAACTTTAATACAATTAATAAACAATACAGAAAAGACAAAGAATATAATTTTTAAATCAAGCACCCACAGTTACCCATCCCCTCATGGGTAAAAGTCCACCCAAATGGGATTGGCCCAGAGCAAGGCCCAAAAGCCTGCCACAAGTCTAAAGCACTATCCAGTGGGGATCCACAGAAAAGGATCAGAAACAACCAGACAAGTCTGGGAGGAAAAGAGCAAAATCAAAATCAAGATAAAAGCTGCCATTGTCACCTCCCCACGGGTCTCTCACCCACATCTGTGTCACCCAGTCCAGGACCAAGAAGCAAGTACAGTTTCTTCACATGTCTCTCTGCTCCATGTGCCTCCTCCAGGTCTCCTTCTGGCTCCATCCTGCTTCCTTCCTTCTCCAGTCTCCTCTCCAGCTTTTCTTCCTTGCTCAGCAAGACCATCCTTTTGGGTGGGGCAGGGAACCTGGAACCTCCCCTTTTCCTGGGCATCACCCTGATACAGGAAGAGAGAGAGAAGAGAAGAGGACTGAGGATCCCACTTGGGGACCTCCTACACTTCAGGGCAGAAGCGGATTGTCTAGGAGTAGTGGAGAAATCCCAGGGGAAGTTGGTAAGAATGCCAAGAACAGAGAGTTTGCAAAAGGTGGGGGATGGCCAATTCTACTCCATAGCACTGAGAGGCGGTGTAAAATGAGGCTTAGTGAGCACTGGGTATAGGGACATGGAGGTTTTTGGTGGCTGAGATCAAGTCTGCCAGTGTACACCAGCTGCTGAGGCTGCCTTTTCCCATTTTAGACTAAGGTCCCAGCCCCATTTGATGTAAGCGTAGCCATGTCGCTGAATTGGCCAGTAGAATGTGGGTGGGGATAAAGTGCTCCATTTCCAATCCTAAATTATAAATACTTCCTATGGGATCCCCTTGGAGTGGGCTCCAAGCACTCAGAGGAGAGCTGGGCTACAAGATGACAGTGCGTAGAACCCTAAATAATTGCCAGGAGCACCCTCCCAACTAATATGCGCTGGACAGTAACATAGACCAGACACAAACTTTCATTGAGTTGAGCCACTGAGATTTTAGGACTTGTCTATTCCAATGGCTATTATTATTACCTTTTATTAATACAGTGACCTGGGCAAAAGAGGTTTTGGAGACTAGAGGAAAAGGAGGAAATCTAGGTTTCAGCAGCCACCAGCCAAGATCTAGTCCCAAATCTGCCTCAGTCCAAAGGTGCCCAGGGATCATGTTGTGAGCTCTTTGTGTTCATCTATAAACAACAGGCCACAGGCACAGCAGAGAAATGTGGAGGCTACTAAAGGCAGCAGAGACTGGGCAGTGTAATCTAGGGCTTGGTTATGCCACCAGGGACCCAGGTTCTTGTTATCTTCCTTCTCTGCCACCTTTTGCCTGAGAGCCTTTGTCCTCATGTCTGTCACCTCATCGTGGCCGATGCACTTCAACAGGAAGAAGGGGAAAGGGCAGATCTTAGCTGTGTGGAGAGTAGTTCAGGTACACGGCAAGTTCCAAGGCTGTCACAATTACTCAGGAAACAGAGCAGCTGCAGCTGCATGGAGGGCCCGCTGGGAGCTGATAGGTTGTGGTGTTGCAGTGGGCACAGGAGAGAGACTTCCCTTCCTCCTGGTTTCCCTCCTGCCCTGGAAGCTGCTCCTTCCTGTCTTCTTGGTGGCCGCCCCTTCCACCCCCTCTCATCTATCTGTAAGTGGATGAGAGCCCCAGGGCTCAGTCGTTGGCCCTCTTTTCTCCACCAACACCCACTTCCTAGGTGATTTCATCTAGTCCCGTGGTTTCAACTACTATTTATATGCCCATGATTCCCCAGTGGGTGACTCCGGGTCTGACTCCCCTGAACTCTGGACTCTTGTACCTGACATTTCCCTGTAGAGGCCACAAGCCTCTCCCTGGCAACATGCCCAAACACCTCAGGCTCTGAAGGCAAACACCCCTCCTTGGCCTTGCATCTGGGCAGATGCCCTGAACCAGCCCTGAACCACTGCACACCCAGGGGCTCCCATCCCACATTCTGTCCCTCAGCAAATCCTGTGGCGTGGCCCTCCACCTGTGTCACCTGGTCCCACCCACCTCCCGTCACCCAGACCCCTGCAGTGGCCTCCTTACTGTCCTCTCTTTGGCCATTTTCCACACAGTAGCCAGAGGTAGTATTATTGTTTTAAAACATTTTATGTAAAATTTCAAACACACACAAAAGAAGAGATTAGTATAATAACCCCCATGTATTTGTTCGTCACTCAGCTTTTTACAAAGCGCTCTAATGGGCTTGATTAAAAGATTCATGAGTTGGGCAGCATCCCATCTAGTTAATTAATAGAAGGGCACTGCCTCATCACTCTGTTTTGATAGTTAACAAAACATGCCCAACCAGAACGATGTTTTCACAGTTTTCATTTGATGAATTTGCCCTCTGGCTTAAAACCTGAAATCCAAATTCCTTACCAACCTCGTGACTAACTTCTCTGGTCCTGTCCTCACTCCATTATCCTGGCCTCTGCAGTTCTGAACATGCCATGGTTGCCTCAGGGCCTTTGCATTGCTTTTTTTTGAGGGAGGCGGAG